GACTTACTTAAAGGATCATGGGACTTTGTAACTGGGGTTATATAAGGTAGCTATACTTATGATTGCTTATAACCCCAATTAAGGTACTTATAACCCTAGTTACTAAGTCCCATGATCCTCCAAGTATTCGGGCTTGAAGCCGTCTCCTGAAGTCCAGAGACGAAGCCCCCGACATCAGCAGAGCGGAGCCGAATGGAAGCGCAATATCCCAAAGCCTGAGCCCAAGACCTCTTTAGGTTTTAGGGTTTATAGGGTTTTGGGTTTTAGGGTTTAGGGTTTTGGGGGTTTAGGGTTTAGGGGTATATCTGGACTCCCCAAAACCATGTAGAATAATAGCTTTTTTTTTGGGTCTTCGGCCATTAGTTAAACTTTCGGGGGTTGGGGTAAGATTTTGGAGGCTTGAGGTTTCACGCTTCAGTCCCTGGTGGTGAGGTGGCGTGCGATGTTGGTGAGTTGAGGGAAGCGTTCTTTGAGAAGTCTACCACGAACCTGACGCAAGCGAAAATCCCCAAAGCCACAGATCTCAAAGTCTCTAAAAACCTAAACCCTAAACCCCTAAACCCTAAACCCTAAACCCTAAACCCTAAACCCTTGGCCCTAGCCCAAGTCCTTGGCTTGCGGGTGGCCGTCTTTGTTCGTCCTGGCATCGTGGTGGCTCAGCACAGCAGGCCCCACAACTTACTTCCCAAACTCCCAAGAAAATGTAGGGTTTAGAGCCTAAACCCTAAACCCTAAACCCTAAACCCCTAAACCCTAAACCCTAAACCCTTTAGAGCCTAAGAGTTTTGTGCTGGCTAGGTGTGGTTTTTGGTTTTTGGACTCTCAGAGAGCTGCTAACTTCTGAAAGCCCAAAACATGTGGGAGTTTCCGAAAATCAGGGGGGTACCTTATTTTGGGGTCCTTATAATAAGGATCCTATTATTTAGGGTGCTATATTGGGGTCCCCTATTTTCAGAAACCCCCATGTACGTTTTCAGTAGCAGAGAACTAAAGTAACAAAAGCAAGGGCTCAACTCACCTGCCCTCACCGCCGAAGGAATAGGGGGTTTAGGGTTTAGGGTTTAGGGTGCGTTTGCTAGCCGGGCTTTGCGTCTTCTTACTGGCATGGTAATCAGGCAGAGTGGAATGAAGCTGTGGAGTGCAAAAGGGCCCCCGGTTTTACGGGGTCGGTAAACCCCAAAGTCTGTAAAGCTTGAAACCCGTCCCGAAACTCTAATGATGAACCTCTGAACCCAAAAACTCCTCAGTAGTCTTCCTACTTGAGGACTGAACCCTCAGGTTCAGTTGACAAGAAGCCTCCAAGCTAGCTGCCCCCTGAACCCAAAGTAAAACAAACATGACACCTCACCCTCAATCATCCCACCTCCCAAACCGGAAGCCCTAAACCCTAAACCCCTAAACGTAGGCTGGCTGTAAACTCATAATTCATTCGCCCCTGTGTTGTATGTGGAGCAAGGATCCCTGCGTCAGTCTCGCCTGGATCGTCCGACGACCGCTTCATAAACCTCTACCTTAAGAGCCCAAAACCTGCTTTTTTGTAGGGTCCCTATAAATCCCATATTAGGGTTTATAATAAGAACCTACAAAACAGTGGGTTTGGGGTTCTTAAGGTAGACTCTAAACCCCTAAACCCTAAACCCTGAACCCTACACCATAAAGGCCCAACACCCTAAACCCTGACTAAAGGCCCCTAAACCCCAAACCCTGAACCCTACACCATAAAGGCCTCTACACCCTAAACCCTAAAGGCCCCTAAACCCTAAACCCTAAACCCTGAACCCTACACCATAAAGGCCTCTACACCCTAAACCCTACAGGCCCCTAAACCCTAAACCCTGA